ACTCCCAAAGTTTCAGCCTTCTAGCTTTTCTGGTTCTCGAGTTGAAAGTGGGTGAGAAAAAGTGCGGACACACAAACACACAGATACAAACACACACACACAGTCGCTTCCTAATATGCGTTTTTGCAATTTGCATATATGCAAAAATGCATTAAAAAACGGGAGAATTCCCACGACTCCCTGCACGAAAATGCAATGCAAATTCACCAAATTATTCAAAAAACTGAAAATACTTCGAAACTTCAGTACTTCGTTTAAGTCTTCAGTGATTGTGTTTAACGAGACGGAGCTTTCCGCAGAGCAGTCGGAGCCGCCAAAAGAAGACTGCTTGTCCTCTTCACTTTCACCGTTTTTTCGAGAGGATATGCATTTCCTGAGCCTTTTGAATTTTTGAACCAATAGGTCGTAACGCCGGTCTTTTTCCTGTATTGCAACATATCGTTAAATCAATATACGATTTTGCTTACTGCAGTTTCGAAAATTTAAATTGCAAGCAATTGGCTGGCAGTGAGAAAATGAAACGCAGAATGCTTCAGTGGCCACTAGGAAGAACACGAGCCGAAGAAAATGATCCATGTTGATATGTTATATGCGTAAAACATAAAGAAAAATGCGTTAAAAAAAAATCATCAAAGTTCAATTCGAACATTTCTGTACTTACCAAACCGGCTTGTCTAAGGGCTGTAATACATTTTGAATATTCCAGCACCTGGTTTCTATACCTATCCAATTCTTCTAATTTTTCAGGAAAAGCTCTTCTTTCTTTCAGGCTCTGATTGTCTTTCATCAACCTTTCGTAGCTATCCTTCTGCAAAAATGTTACATTTCTTACAGCTATAAACTGCTGTTGACAATATCATAGATGCAATTGAGAAAAAAAAGTACCCATAAAAATTATTTATGTTTCGCTTCGTTGTTCCCCCCTCCCCTTATCAGTTTACACTGTTCATCATAAACAAGACAGGTGTTCATGTTCTTGCATTTCTCAAGAATGCCAGTTTCGCCAAAAATCAGAGAATGCTTCAGGTAAAAAAGAAAGCTCCAGGAGTAAATTAATTAAAATACAGTTCATGAAGTGCTCACTTTCCTTTGATTGAGTGAAAGATGTCTGTATTCACAACGGAACTGTTTCTAAAACCAGGAAAAGAGGATAAGTGCTTAGAAAGGTGGATTTTTTTAGTGTTGTTTACGGAACGCATCTGAATGTTTTACTTTTTGGCATTTAACTTAGCAAACAGAATGTTCTACATAGAGGTTCATGACCCTTAGAACAAAAGACGACCAAAAGGAAAAGAAACTTGTTCACTCACTACGCCTCTTTTGACAGTGATTTACTTGCTAAACAGTAGCAGAAAAGAAACAGTCAGGACAAATGTATGGGTTCTGATGAATGAGGTGTTTGCTAAACACAAAATTTAACAAAATTAAACTTCTCCACTCCCTCATCCCCGCCGATCGCTGGACACCTTTGCTATTATCATGCACTAGGTTTCTCTCGGGCAAATATAATATTCGTGTTCAGAGGTACTTTATTTATTTTTCAAGTGCACTGCTGCTGTTTTAGGCTGCATTCCTGAGATTAAAAAACATTTTCGAATAAAAATCACATTTCGAATAAAAATCACTTCAAATTCTCCAGTCCCGTTCTGGCTGCACAGAGCACATAAGCCTCGTTTGATAAAATTAGCTTCTCTGTTCATTTTAAATAAATTAAGTTGGCTGAAAAAAACCCTCAGCAAAAAAAACTGACTAATGTAAGGAAGTCGTCTTGTGTATGGCGCAGTTTCTGTTCGCACTTCTTAGTTTCATTTTGAAGAATGCGATTACGCTCGGACAATCGACGATTCTGTTCGATCAAAGGTCGCTGGTTACGTTCCATTTCGACGATTTTTTTGTTCTAAAAGTGCGTTTAGCTAAAAATATAAACGCTTCCTTTAACATTTTTAAACCTTTTTTATATGATGGTGGTAGCGAACAAAAATCAAATGAGTCAAACGAGTTTTCAAAACCGTCTACACATGCCACTGTTTAAAACGGGTCAAAACGAGGATGAACGAAGAGGTCAGATTGTCAGAAAGGCTAATACCGGAACCATCGACTGTAAAAATAATGCTGGTTTTCCGCAGGAACGATTTTCAAACAAACGGGCAGCTCGTGGATTAAATTAACATCACACAGGCATGTTGCTCGAACAGCACCATTAGTGCCAGTAACTAATGCGCCTTGGTTCGACTTTTTTATATACCAAAATGAAATTAGTTCTTTCATTCGTAAAGGCAGAAAACATTTCATTTTTCTTACCATGTAAATGCAATTTTGCTTAAATTTGCAATTATGAAAAGAAAATGGGGAACTGACCAATTCGGCCTTGATTTGATTCATTTCAGAATTAATGATTTCAGCATCGGCCAAACGTTTTGCAGTGTCGTCTAGCTTTTGCTGCCATCGTGTACGATCCCTTTCATAATCTTCCTTGCTCATCTGCAATTATAGCATTAAGCGTAAATTATAAAAGTAAAAATTTTCGGATATTATAAAGATGAGCCATTCAGCAGCACTGCGTGGATTCACATCCGGACAACTTTTAGGGTACCAAAAAAGCAAAGTAGAGCATGTTCTTTGGCTGGGTTTGTACGGCAACAAATAAGCTGGCACCGCTGGGATTAAGAGAAAGTCATGCAGCTGTGATGATTTATCTAGGGCGACATAACGTGCTACAGCTATACTCGATATTTCGTTGTATTTCAACAAATATTCTGAACTTAGGGCCTCTATAATCGTTATTATGAGCCAAAAAAGTACAGTGGGAGATAGGCGAATTATGCAGCAGTTTGGTACAGAGAATGGCCGATCGATTGGATACAAACCCATCTCATGCCGTATTACGAGCAGCCATTTTTTTTGCTTGCACGACAGATCGTTTAAAGAAAAAAAAACTTTTCATAAAAGTTACCGTAAAATTCAACAATAAGCACTATCAAAAGAAACATACTGATCGTGAAGCAAACCCATCTGCATTCAAATTTTTAAAAATTTGTCACTGCAAATTGGCCTGCTTGCGAACAGAAAATGCAAGTGACACTAATGGGTCTCGACGCCAGTACAGCATTCAAATTGGAAATACTTTTAAATGTTTCTTTATAATTTAATTATTGCATATCTAACCGAATAATTGGTGGATTCTTGCAAAAAAGAAAAAAAAATAAGCTGTCTTGGCCTATCAAACAACTAATGCTCGGTATTCTAAAACAGCTTCTGTAATAGCTTTTTACGTTCGAGAACCAGAAACGTTAGCACTCTTAATGCGCAGCTCTGACTATAGAGAAATAAAATAATGTACTGAGCCCAACAACAACTACTAGTACTCCGGCTTTGACATTGATATCTAGATGAAATTTCATCTTGACCACTGCTCGCTTGAGAGGTTGACTGTGGCTTGTGTTTCGACAGTGAGATAGATGTAACTGGTTTGTTCGAAAGTCGACAAAAGTAAATCCTGTCCTAAGTCAACATTCGTAGACCGCCGCCACTTTTAAATCGGATCAGGTTCCTCGATCGATTTTCGCAACAGCACTTTAATCATTTGAAAAATAAGGGGACAGTAATTTTGAGCTCCACTTCTTGAGCTCAAAATTACCGTCCCTTTGAGCTCCACTAACTCAGAGCCTCCTGATAATATCTAAAAATGATCCCTTGCTTAACAGTTTTTCATAGAAACGATTTTAACGAATAAGAGAAAATCTTCAGACAAATGTGGGCACTTTCCAATAATATTACAAACTCCAGCCAGAAATCGAACAGTGCTTGGTTACGTGAGACAGACAATTGCTTTACGGAAATTTGGAAGAAAATGAAAGAGCAAATGGATGCATCTTGTTCACTGGAAGCACTTAGCTCCTTGACAGTGTGCGATGCTCAACAGCAGATATCTGCCCAGTTCTAGCTGGTAGTAGTGATAAGTGTGCTTTCTAATCGCTTCCAAACCCTTCGCCTTTTCGCTCGGCAAAATAATAAATCACTTTCTGAACATATTTTTCCTGCTCTGCAGTCGCAATAAACTGTGATGTTTGTTATGTACAAATACAGCGCAGAAGTGTCACGTACAAATCTGTGAAAGACGGATGGGAATGGCACAATTCAATGAGTGCGGTCACTGCAGCAAAACTTTATAATTTACTCGAAATTTTCATATTTCGCATGCAATGCTGTTTTTTTTTTTTTTTTTTTTTTTTTTTCCCT